GACAATGTAACGTAACAAACAATACCAACCTATAGTTAGAGTATTAAAAATAGTGCCTATGACGGCAAACAACAGAATAGTGCCGATGTGGTCAAAAAAAAGTCTATTAGGCATGAAGTAGCCGGCATCCAGGATGATCGGTGGAAGCATATAAAAGAAGAATGTGTCCGGCGTTAACGGCGACATGTGGACGCTGTCCGTCACGTGGACCAGGATGACGCCGATCACAACTCCCACGAAAATGAGTAGGCACGATTCGGGAAATATTTTGCTGAGCTTTGGAGCCATATGGAAACCTGAAACAAAGTAAAGTCGATAACAGAACAGGAAACCGAAATAAGCTTTTAAATTTATTTCATGTACGAACATTTGGAAATAATGAGAAGTTGGTAATATAAATTTGCACTAATGTAATGTATTTATTGATCATCCATTTTGATTACAAATCTGAAAACATATGTAGATTTATTCCTGATTTGTCTTTAGATAATACTAAAATCATTAGACCGAGGGGTTTTTCGTTCATCAAAAACGACTTATTGAAACCGAACTTGACAACAAAGATTTCCTTCGAAAATACTTGAAAAATGCAAAAAACGTTGAGGCGCATGCTGAATACGTTGTTGGACAACATGTATGCAGCTTCCTTGAATTTTCTTCTAAACCAATGTTCCTTTCTGTGCAAGATCAAGATCAGCTTGGGACCACTCCATGTTGTGTTGATGGGTCCAAACATGATCTGCTATTCCTGATTTGCTGGTTTCCCCTCGCTTTGTGTTTGGAATCTTGGAATCTCTCCAGTTTTTCTTTTTTCATTTCTTTATTTTTATTTATTCAATTGTTCTATTTTTACTGGTATTTCATTTCAGGTTTATTTTGCTTAATATAATTGTTATTTTCAGCTATTCATTTGTAATTATTCTTTTTAAGTTGTTTCAGGGATTTCAAATCATTTTATATAGTAGACAATGGAAGTCCGAACTAGTGAAATTTACCTAAATATGTTATCATGGATTTTCATCAACTGTCGGTCATATCAATATCATGTGTTAGGCGTTTAGTTTTCAAAAACTTTTCAAGTGTATAGTTATTATAAATCTATTTGCATACCAGCAGTTGATTAATCTTCTACCGAAGACGATTGTGGATATTAACAATTGAAACGTCGTGAAGTAACTTGGTTCGAAATCCTTTAATTTTAATTTAATTTTGATTGTTCAATTTTCAATCTTTTGTCAAATTTTCATTTATTGCAATTTCATTTCAAGTTTTTTTGNCATTGACAATGTAACGTAACAAACAATACCAACCTATAGTTAGAGTATTAAAAATAGTGCCTATGACGGCAAACAACAGAATAGTGCCGATGTGGTCAAAAAAAAGTCTATTAGGCATGAAGTAGCCGGCATCCAGGATGATCGGTGGAAGCATATAAAAGAAGAATGTGTCCGGCGTTAACGGCGACATGTGGACGCTGTCCGTCACGTGGACCAGGATGACGCCGATCACAACTCCCACGAAAATGAGTAGGCACGATTCGGGAAATATTTTGCTGAGCTTTGGAGCCATATGGAAACCTGAAACAAAGTAAAGTCGATAACAGAACAGGAAACCGAAATAAGCTTTTAAATTTATTTCATGTACGAACATTTGGAAATAATGAGAAGTTGGTAATATAAATTTGCACTAATGTAATGTATTTATTGATCATCCATTTTGATTACAAATCTGAAAACATATGTAGATTTATTCCTGATTTGTCTTTAGATAATACTAAAATCATTAGACCGAGGGGTTTTTCGTTCATCAAAAACGACTTATTGAAACCGAACTTGACAACAAAGATTTCCTTCGAAAATACTTGAAAAATGCAAAAAACGTTGACGTTGACGCCGTCTTATTGACGGCGGCTGCATGCAAAAATCTAATACATGTTTACTAATACTTAACGGTGACATTTTGAACTCATTTGCTTGTAAAAAAGTAAAAAGTAAAACATTAATGAAAATATATGATAGAATTGGCCGATACTTGATGAAAATATATAAGTAGCGTATTCCAAAAACAGCTTATTGTGAGATTTTCTCTAAAAAATTTTACAAAAACGCAACACGTGTTTCGCGATACAATAGCATGTCTTCACTAACAATATTCTACATATTCAATTCTTAATATACCTTATTTAATAATTTGAAGTATCTACGTTTCAAGTACCTACCTGATTTTTACCTAAGTTTGTAATGAATTAAAATACCTGAGCTTATGTTCCACATTTGAAAAAATATTCATTAACCGTGAATTATTCAATTTTAATTGATCATTCAGTGAATTACCCGAATTTCTGAATCTATCGATATCTGAACATTCTAGAAGATTGAGTTTCGAACTCTTTTCTTCTGAATGTAACACGTAGTATTCATGATTGAAATCATGTCCTTCTGGTAATAGGTGGTTTGCAAATGTGGAATTGGTCTTTCTATTTAAAAAACTACTTCTATGCTTTGTAATTCTTCGGGAAAATATTCTCCCTGTTTGGCTAATATATAGTTTTGGGTGAGATCCACAAGTCAGATTATACACTCCTGATCATTTCGACACCGAAGTTTTGTCTTTAATGTTTTTTAATAAATTTACTTAGACTATTATTCGTTCTATAAGGTACTTTTACGCATTCTTTCTTCAAAAAACGAGCAATTTTATTGGTTGGTTCACCATGTATGACAATGTCCTATTCACCGAAATATGACAATGTTCTACAACTGACGTTATCATATCTTGAATTTGAATAGACCAGGTCCATGGCTTGCTTTTGTAATTTTTTGGAAAGTGGAATATTCAATAGGCTGTGATGCATACTATTGAATATAACAATTTCATGCTGGTAAGGGTGGGTGGAGGAATTATGTATGATAATGTCCGTGTAAGATGGTTTGTGGAAAATTGCAAATTTATGTTTATTGTCATTTTTCGTAATGGTTCAGTCAAGGTAATTTATTGAATTATTTACCTTCCTTTCAGTGGTGAATTTTATTAACGGGTGGATGGAATTGACATATTCAATGAATCATCTATATAATATCTCAGTCTGTTTTACTGGTACAGATAGGCAATTAGGCAAGTTCATTGAATCCAATTCCATGAAAGACCAATTCCACATTCGCAAACCACCTTTTGGCAGAAGGACATGAGTGCATTCATGAATACGATGTGTTACATTTAGAAGGAGGAGTTTGAAAGTTACGGAAGCGTAGAAGGGCCACAGATTATTTGTTCATTTGATCCACAATAATTTCGACTTAAAAGTCGAAATTTCGACTTTTATCTCGTAATTTCGACTTTTATCTCATAATTTCGACTTTTATNGATAAAAGTCGAAATTACGAGATATAAGTCGAAATTTCGACTTTTAAGTCGAAATTATTGTGGATCAAATGAAAAAATAATCTGTGGCCCTTCTACACTTCCGTAGAAAGTCAATCTTCTAGAATGTTTAGAAATCAATAGATCCAGGAATTCTTGCAACTTACTGAATGATCAATTAGAATTGAGTAACTCCCCGTTACTAAGTATTTTTTCAAATGTGGAAACTGAGACATTAGCTCAGGTAATTTAATTTAGGTATATTGAGCATTGACTATGTATAATATAGTTAGTAAAGACACACCCGAAGAAGCCATTATATGGCGAAACACGTGTTGCATTTTTGAAAAATTGTTTAGTGAAAATCTCACAATAAAATGTTTTTTGGATACGCTCATGAATGAAAACTCAATTTTTCAATGACTAAAAATAATTAAGAACTAATAAAATTTCAATTGTGAGATTGAATCAGAAGACAAATCAAGGATTATAAAAAATATTTCTTGACCACTTTGAGATCCACCTTAATAGTATGTACACTCTATATAAGAGAAATTTTTTGATACGGGAATTATAGAAAAACACATTTTATTTCAGGTGATTTGAATTTTAATATTTTGTTGACAAGTATTGGTTTCATGGGAATAAAATAATTCAATAATATTCTAAACGGCCACAAGAGGCTCTTAGATTTAATAATTAGTTATATTCATTTGGCGGTAAGTCGTGAATATTACCTTGAGTAATTGAAGAGTAATGTATAAACATCAGTATTCATACTGTACGCTTCGAAATCGAAAATCATACAACTCCAAGAAAACTAACTATTTAAACTATACAATACTTTTTTCTTGCCGGATAGACGTTTTTTGAACAGTGCTTTCACACCAGATCTTATGAAATTCATGACGTTACTGTCCCAGTCAATGAAAATTTCAAACGAATGTCTAACCTGGTATACATGTTACATTATTGGCCTGATTTCAGAGAAAAATATTAAGTAAGTACAAATTGAAGTCAATTAAATACTACTTATCTGCAAACATTCGAATCCCTTCGATCAACAGTTGAACAACAAATCAGAGAAACTTATGATATGATCAGTATTAACAGTTCAATTGGGCAGTCATCCAAAGTCTTTTTGGTTGATCATTCACCAAAGAAATAATACCTACGTCTAGAATTTTGAGTTCGAAATATCATGAAGGTGTTACATATATGTATTTCATCAGTTCGGACTTCCATTGTCTAATATTATATAAATTGATTTGAAATCCCTGAAAAAATAAAAATATCAACCAAAAATAACAATTTTATTAAAACAAAAAACTGAAAATCACTAGGAAATAACATACAAGCTACAACCAGAA